TATTTTCATATTCTTGTAATCAGATATATTTTTTTGACATTCAGAAAACTTTTTGAAAGAGATGTACGTATAATTGTTTATCGGGCAGAGTAGATACAGTTTGATTATATGAAATAAGGTTAAATATTTTATGCTCAGAATATTTTTCAGGGTTATTTAGGTGTACGTGTAAATGTATCCTTCATTTTCATATTGTAATAATATATCAACAGATATGTATACTTTTCAATATTTACTGATATCACTTTTTATTATATACTGGTAATTATTTTAATGAATGATTCCAGTGTCTCCGTATTTGACAGTTCAAAACATATATAATTATATTAAAATAAAAACCTTTTTTTTTTTTCTTGACAAATTTTTACACATTATACACAAGTATTTTAAAGTAGTTGTCATGGAATGGTAAATAATCTGCTTTATTGACAAAAAAAAACAACATATATACATCCATATGAAAAGAAAGAATTTCAAAGTTTTTTAATATAAAAAATAAAACAACAAAAAGAAATTCTCTGTGTGTTTATTCCATCAATATGTTTGAGAATAAATTGTATCCATGATATTTCCTCTCCATTATGTAGCACTTTGATTTTGTTGTTCAGGAATTAAGTTCAGCTTTGACATTTGTTTAAGTAACCTAAACTTTTGAGTTGTTCAAAGTCATGGGAGATGTCACCACAAAGATTAATATGTGTGATTGGATTTGAAAAATAAACAGGAAATTTCAATAACATGCAACAACTACATTAACCTCTTATGGATATATATAATCAGCAAACTTTTAAATGCGTGAAATTTCAAAGAATTGAAAAATTTATAGTTAATTTAAAATCCTATTAATTTTATTAATGCACACAATAATTGAATGGATGCAAACATCAAATTTATTATTATTCTCATATATATAAAGCAATAAAGTGAACATTTATGCCATTGACAAGAGCAATAGCCAATTAATCTAATTATTCAAATGATACTTGCATCAAAACATTCCTTGAGTTCCTGAACACTACACCTGTGCTGGCAACATTAATTTATAAAGATTGTTTTAATGCAAGCATGAAAGTGATATTCCTCTAGTATGTTCATGGGCGTCGGAAGCAAATTGAAAGTGGGGGGGGGGGGGGGGGGGGGGCTAAACAAACAAAAAAAGGTAAATCATGATTTTCAATGCCTATGTAAGGTTATAAGGTTTATTTTTGCGACCCCCCCCCCCCGGTTCCGACGCCTATGATGCTTAAGCATGCATTGAACCATAGTGATGATATTTTACGACCATTTTGCTCTCACCCTAAAATAATTCATGTAACTACTTATAAGGGATGTAACACCCGTCCGGTATTAGCATGGACACTTTATTATCACATTTTCGAAGTCAAAGGCAATCTCGGACAGCAAAATCATTTGTTTCCTCTTTTTAAAATTTTATTTTCTACAGGTTAAAATAACTTCGTCAAGGAAAACAACATTGCTCAACCAGTAAATCTGTCAGTTTCACATTTTTTTTCCTGTTAATTTATTTCAATTATCTACTGTCCTGGTGAATTAGACACAATTAAAAATGCTCGGTAAGCACATGTTCACATATATCCATGGTAGAAAGGTCATGACCGTATAGGATCTGTCGAATATATTATATACTCTATGAAATGACAATTTTATTACCCCCTCCCCCATATAAGTAATAACTGGAACCATTTGAACATCAACGAGATGATAAACAGGGACGTGAAAATGGAACACGTCAACCCCCCCCCCCCTCCCCTCCCCCAAAGTAGATTCTCATATACGTTTTCTACAATATGGTGATTGCATGTTACTCACTATACATGTATATGAAATTAACTACATGTAGGTTAAAATGGGATGTAAAGATTAATGATAGTTTATAGCTAGGTGAAGCTCGTGGCTGTTTAGAACACGTTTGCTTATAAATAGAGAAGCTCTGGTGATATGTAATTCAAAATTAATTTAAAATCAAATATTTAAAAAATCAAAAACCCCACGACTCTGTATATAAAGCATATTAAACAAAATTCCTGTCATTCAGGGATTTTTTTTTCTTCATGATATTTTTATGACGTCCACTTTCATGCCAAGATTATATATATTCGAAGACATTCTTATTTGTAAAAACCCGCTTGAAAAGTGTGAGGGTATATATATAGTGATTCAGTCCGTCTGTCTGTCCGTCTGTTAGGCTTTTGTTCTGCTTGTGATTTTTCAAATAAAATTTAGTTTACACAAATTTAAATTTAGTTTAGAGATACATTATTTCAGTCGAAAGATTTTGTAGTTGTAATATGTGTCCTTTCAAGTCAAATAATTTCAAAGGGGGTTTCTTTGATATTTACAATAATCATAGAGATTTCTATAGAAATATCACCAATATCTGACTACACCAGACGGTAGCTTCCGTGGCCAGCTTAATTTTGAAAATTGAATTTTCAAAATGACATGACTAGAAAGTTTTAAGACCACCAAAAAAAAATTAAATCTATATAAACTTTATTTATAATATTTGCATAAATATTTTGCATAATTGCGCTGCACGTGGAAACGTAATATAAATCAAACCAATGGCTAAACATTGAAGATATTCAATGTCTAATCCACTTTACAATTCAACAAAATTGTTCAAATAGTTTGTCAAATTACTTGTAGTTAAACTTTGATATTAGACATTACATGATGTGCATAAATATATGTGAAAATTTCAAGGGATTTTGTTAATTTTCAATAAATTAATATATACCAGGAAGAGAAAAGGTGTACATGTATATAACGACTTATGGACAGATCAAACAATTTACCAACACTAACAATAAAAGGGACATGACATACTACTAAACAGAAAAAAAACAAGCCAGACGTTAACAGACAGACGGACATCTCGATTACTATTTTTCTAGCGGGGTATATATAAGAGGTGCAAAATGACATTATCTTTGAAAGTATCATTATACTGCTTGAAAAGTGGGCGGGTATACTGTAATCGGTTTGTCCGTCCGTCTGTACGCCCAGCTGTCTGTACGTCCGTCCGTCTGTCTGTTACTAGGGTTAGGGTTAGGGTTAGTCTGCAAGGCTTAGGGTTAGCATTAGGGTTAGAGCTAGAGCTAGGGTTAGGGTTAGACTTAGAGCTAGGGTCTGGGTTAGGGTTAGATTTAGAGCTAGGGTTAGGGTTAGGGTTAGTCTGCAAGGGTTAGGATTAGCATTAGGGTTAGAGCTAGAGCTAGGGTTAGGGTTAGACTTAGAGCTATAGGATTAGAGTTAGACTTAGAGCTAGGGTCTGGGTTAGGGTTAGATTTAGAGCTAGGGTTAGGGTTAGGGTTAGTCTGCAAGGGTTAGGATTAGCATTAGGGTTAGAGCTAGAGCTAGGGTTAGGGTTAGACTTAGAGCTAGGATTAGAGTTAGACTTAGAGCTAGGGTCTGGGTTAGGGTTAGATTTAGAGCTAGGGTTAGGGTTAGGGTTAGTCTGCAAGGGTTAGGATTAGCATTAGGGTTAGAGCAAGAGCTAGGGTTAGTGTTATACTTAGAGCTAGTGTTAGGGTCCATCTCTTATCCGCAACTCCTCTCATACCACTGAATTAGATTTAGTGAAACTTTCACATAATCTTTATTACATATTGCCATTGTGACCTCCTATTTTACTTTTTGATCCGATACATATTTTGGGTTTCCCATAGCAAAACATGGACACTGTCATTATATTCAAATGGGAGGCGGTATCATTTAGTGAGCTCATTGCTTACAATACATTTAGTTCCATAGTGCGATTGTGCAATTCATGTTTCGATAGAATTTAAATTTGGGTTTTCCAATCAAAAAAAACCTGTCTTTGTCTTTCTTTCTATAATACTTGGACCGATTTCTTTACAACTTGAAACTTTATTTCATAGTGCCATCTTGAACCTCCTACTTTACGCTTTGACCGGGCAGATCATTTTGTTCCCTACAGAACAAGATGATTCTTGCCATTATACTTAATAAGGACGTACCCAATTCGTTAGTGCAACTACTCCTAAATCCCAGAATATTCAATGAAGCCTTTACAGAATCCCTTTTTTACTCACATGCATGGGGGTGGGGATGGGGGTATTTATGTATCATTTTGTGAGGTTAGTGCAAGTCTTACGTAGATCTTCCTTCCAACATCAAACAAAAGGCTTTTGATTGTGCCTAACCCTTTTATTCATATTCTCGGATTATCTTCAGTGGAATATAAACTCCTATTTATTTAAGGCCACAAGGTCAAATAATTTTGATTTAAATAAAAATGAAGTTCAAAATGTTAAGATGCTTTGCTTGTCACATATACTAGTACATGTATATCAGAATGTGTACAATGACTGTCTCTGTCTATTTGATCATCCATAGTTGTCCTTATGTTAGTATATGTAAAAATTCTCCAAATTAAAGCTGACTCTTTTAATTGTTGGGAACATATGCATTTCATATTCAATTTTCCTTCAAGTTAACTGTAACCTCCATCCATTGGTTTTGAACTTTAAATTTTTGTTGTTAGTCCATAATGTGTGACAGAAAAGAAGAAAATGTATGATTGGACTAGGAATGGAACTAAGACCACTGCATCACTATCCAGGTGCTCTCTGAGAACAGGGCATTTCACTTTTGACTACTTAATGATACAGAATAAGGAGAAAGGATTTGAAACTGAAGAGAACAGTTTACTTTAAGTGTAATGATCAGAACACATTAACAAACATCTAAATGCAATATAACATTTCAGATATTCCTTCAAACATCAAGTGTTAAGGAGACTAGAGGAATGTTTTCATTTCAAACAAGAAATAATTTTGTCATAATTTGAATTTCATATACATGTAATTTGGTTTAAATAGTAAAATTGGCTCAAAAAATTGATTTTAACTAGGGCTAAATTTGTACATGTATATGGTAACCAGAACATTTGTACAGACCTTGAAAATAAGAAAACAAGAAGAACAAATAAGAATAAACTGTGCATACATGTATAAGATATTAGTTCTTTAATGGTAGTGTAACAATAACTGGTCATGTTTAACATTATAATGCAGTATTCAATTTATCAAAGTAATGCAATATGCCTGCTGCCATTCAATTCATGTTTGAATACATAATAAAATATGCTGAAATCAATTCAATATTTATTGCTCAAGAAAATATTGAAAATATACAAATATGCTCTCATCTAAATTAAAGGCATGTGCATACATTCAAATTATTTGCTAACAACAAAAAATAATATGTGTATAATAAGTAATGTACACGTGAAAAGCTTATAAATTAAGCAAATGACAGCAAACTTAACAAAGAAAATAATATACTTATAATGCTTGCAAATGCTTGCAGCAATAATAGCTTAAAAACAAAATATTTAAGTAAAAGAGTAACAAGGGGCCAATGGACCTTAACAGTCACCAGAGGAGAATACAACCCTGAGCATAGAAAATTTTCTAAGAATAAATTAATAGGTGAGCCAAACTGTATGCCAAAATTAATTAAGACTGCTTAAGTGGTTTCAAATAAGAAGTTGAAAATTTCCATATGATAGTGCACCATTGTTAGACTGACTTGGGTGACCTAATATTCATAATAATCTACACAGTAACTACCGTAAATCTGGAAATGTTTACGTCGATTTTATTTTGCGAATCTGGGTCGTAATGCTGTTGATTAATTTTTACGTTTCAAAATTTTGCGAATGACCACTACTTTGTTTAAATTTTCTTATTGTTGAATTAATTTTAAGAAATATATTTTTGTGAATGCAATGAACTCGCAAATTTGCTAAAAATTTATCTACAGCAAAAATTTCTAGATTTACGTTATTCAATCTGCTATTGAAAGTTTTGCATTTCAATTTGTAATTAACACATGCTTGACTAAAAATTCTAACATGGTATTCAATACTCTGTTATATTTCTCCTCTTACATGAGTGTGAAAATTGTGCTTTTTTCTTAAATTAATGACAACTTTGATAAATTCTTGTTCTACAAGTCAAATATACAATGCACCAAGAAAATATTTGCTGTCATATAGAAAAGTTGATCTTTAATCCATTTCAACCCTGCATTTTCTTCTTCATTGCATTGGCTGTTTGGGCAAGGACAAATCATAAGGAAGGGTACATCGCTGAAATACAAGAAAAGTCAATATTAAATAATAAATCATGAATTAATAAAAAAAAATTGTAATTCAAACTAGAAATATGTCCATAGGACATGAATGCCCCGCCGAGGATATATAAGTAAAGAAAAGTGAACATTTGTATGTGTATAAAATTTGATCAGTTTGGTTCAGGTAGGGCTTATAGTTACTAGGGAATAAAAATGTAGGTCAGATCCAGCATCCGAAGCAAGTCTGGTAGTGTCCATCCTTAGAAGCATCATCCATGCAAGTTTGGTCCAAGTAGGGCATATAGTTCCTTAGGAATGGACCTGCTCCAAAAATTTTAATCTGGTCACTCATCTGGAAAACGTAGGTCAGATCTAGCATCCGAAGCAAGTCTGGTAGTGTTCATCCCTAGATGCATCATCCATGCAAGTTAGTATCAACATGTGAAGTTTGATAACACCATCTTGAATGGTATGTTTAAAACTGAGCTAAACACTTATTTAAGAAAAGTGAGGTCAAGGTCAAAGTAAAGGTCAAGGTAAAAAAATGTTGATGCAGTTGCATAGCTCTCAATATCTATCAGCATATGAAGTTTGATGAAAATATCTTGGATAGTTTCTTTGAAACTTAGCTTTGAACAGAGCAAAACACAAAGTGTGATGGAAGGACGGAAGGACAGAAGGACGGAAGACAGACATGACAAATACTATATGCCCCGGCCATATTCATGGTGGGGCATAAAAAGGTCTGAGTACATGTGGAAGCTATAAACATACAAACTTCAAAAAGGCATAGCAATTCAATATACATGAATAACATTTAAAGAATTACTATTAAAAAATTCAGACGTTAAGACGTCATCCACAAGTAGAAATGGTCTACCTAGATATCAATTGGATAGTGATCATCTTAAGGGGCCTGCTGCTTTTTCGTAAGTTTCATTTGAAATAGACTTGGTTTAGAGGAGTGTATTTGGAGCTTGACCTTGACTTGACTAAGACCTTTTTGTGTGAGTTGGAACCATGCATTTTAAGAAACTCACCAAAGTTTCAAGTTTGTGATGGTTCACTGGACTGGAATCAGCATGGGGAGGAAAAACAAGGCCAGGCATGGATCCTTTCTATGTATTGTAAAAATGTCACTTTATCAGTCACCAAGAAAAGCTTTACAAAGAGATTAGGAGATCTGGAAGGGGACAAAGAGCTGCACACCTAACTGTGGTTATGCCTGTCCGTCACTTGGTTACCGGTGGTATGCATGGTATGCTTCTTGGTGAAAATAGAACCAGCATCAGTTGCCAACATGCATTAGACCTGCAACAAAAGGGGAAAAAATTATCAACTATGTTAATAAATACATGTATATGTAATCAGTGATTACAGAGCTTACCTCAACTTAAGGCAAAATCCTACATTACACTATTTATCTTGAAGTTTACATCCCAAAAAGAAGACCAAGTAATCTTAACATAATTAAATATCAAACTTGTACTTCTGAGGTCTGTGAAAATTAAATCCAAAATGTATATCAATTAGTTAAAAGTTTAAAATAAGAATACATTAAACTGTGCACTCACTGAATAGGTGTGCTTGAAACTCAACTTTGGACCTTTGTGAGTCTGGAGGGGCACCTCTTGTAAAAAGAAGTAGACTGATTCATCATCTAAAAAAAACCAACAAGATAGACTAAATTACATTTAAATGAAATAAAAACTGTTAAAATATAATTATCAACAAAAAAATTAAAGATCTATAAAAAGATATCATTTGTAAGAAATTTTTTTTTTAAAGACACGTACAGTTGATCACTAACAGACCTAAAATAAAAAAGAGGAAGTTATAAGACTTTGAAAGGGGGAACTGTAATTGATTTATTGCACAAGATAAACATCCTATTGCATATTACAAAATGTACAATAATATTTACTTAGGAAATGAATGGTTGTACATATGAAATCATTGACTGTGTGTTTTTAATTCAAAAGTTTGAAAGAAGAAAGTTCACATTGGTCCATTTTTGGCCCTGTGAATTTCTGAAAAATAATAACTACTCAGTTTTAGTTGAAAATATGTTATATTTCACTTGGACCCTTGGTGACTTCATATCAAATAAAAATGAAGTAATCTTTTCTCTTGTCTATGTATTATGAATTTCGTCATTTTGCTCAAATCTTGAATATTTGGTTAAAAATGACAAAAAATTTAAGCTGTTTTTTAATATTATGCATAGCCCCCAACATCTGATCTAAAATGCTGACTTATATAGGGGATGCATTATTCTAATCCATGAAAGAAGCAGGATGTGCTCATATTTTTATCAGAAGTTGAATATGCTCAATTTCACCCATTTTCTTCAAAAATCAAGAAAAAATCAAGAACATTGCAGTTTCAGAATGCCATAGTTTCCAAACTTGGGCTCTCAGAGGAAAATTTTTTATAGGAAATGAAAGCACTAAGTCTCTATTTTATGTTGATTATCGAAATAGGACATAAGGACTTGGTCGTTTAATTAGTATATTGACAGGGCCTTTTTATGGAGTACGTGAATCTACCTCTTTGTATGTAATACATAATTTGTGAATTGCCTTACATATTATAAATTTTGTTTTATTTTCTGATTCTATTCAATCAGGCAAATGGGGGAAATATGAACATTATGTACGAGGGTTGTTCGAAAAGTTCGTGGACGATGTCCATCCTCGTTATATTACTCAATGGAAGTTAAAAACAAGCACATCATAATATGTAAAAATATTTGTTTTGTTGATGTGGGAAGTTTCATTCCATTTGATTGAACACAAATAAATTTACTTCATTTTAAAATCAACATGTTTTGTACCCGCGGAGCACACAAAACGGTAATGTAACTCAACACAAATCGAGAATTTTAATAGATACTATACCTATACATTTCACACAGAAATTCCAATGCCCATTCATTAAATTCTTTTTCTAATACTTGACATTAATTTTTTAAGAATAGATCTCAATAATTTCCCTTGTTAAGGTTGTAATTTTCTTTTAGTATCTTAACTCTGCTTTCACAGGATAAAATGAAGTGCCTTTGTCTTTCATTTACGTTTAAAATTTTTAATCAGAAGTTTACAGTAAAACCGTTGCTTCACAGGTCATTCATCCGAAATACAAATTCTGTCATCAAATATTCTGTACTATTTGTACACACATGCACAAACTTGTGACATAACATTCCTTCAACATTTAAAGAGTTTATTCAGGATTATTCCAGAGAAAAACACAAAACTGCTTCGGTATCTGCTGCTCCGTGACGTTCTAAAATAAAAAACGTCATAGTTTTTTTCGATTTAATTAAGGACTACTTATGTTCTCAAGTTATTTCTTTTCAACTAAGCAAAATATAAAACCATAATTTGGTACACATATCGATGTAACAATTCTTAATTTGAATAAGTTTTTCGTTTTTCCTCCATTTTACAGAGAATAACTTTTGATATATTTTTTGTATTGTCTGTAACTTTAAATTTTGACCTGTCCGATTTTTAATTTTTTAAATCTGGATAAGTTTTTATAATAATATTTTGTGATTTGCCATTACATGGATTTATTGTTAAAATATTCCTACCAAATTTGGATAACATATGACGTCAAATAAAAAAGATATGACAGTTGTCCACGAACTTTTCGAACAACCCTCGTATAATTGTATGTGTTAATAATTGTGTTTTAATTCTTATACATGTATTAAAGAATGGTTCATTTTTCATTATTGATCTCATTAAAATTATTTTGATCATTTATCTTCATTTTTTTACCTGTCTGATAAACACAGCAAAGGTTACAGAGGCAAATTACAGGTGTCAAAACTCTCTGTTGATGACCAGACTGCATCCAGCATTGTATATCCACCATTACTGATCTTTAACAGGGGAGACTACTACTGAAATCAGAGAAATTATAGTCAAAATGAGAGTTACCTTATACTCTTTAGGATTCACACATAGAAATTATTGACTATATGCTACTTTATAGCTTTATCAAATTTATTAACTAGACCCTCTGCAGTAAATTAATGTAAGAGAAAATAACGATTAATACATGTACTTACACAAAAATTTGAATCGGAAAAAACACACCTGATGCAGCTTAAAAAAAAAAAAAGAAAAATGACAGTAAACATACCTTCCTTGAAATCAATCTGATTAAAATAGGATCTTTGATTTGCTCCGAAATTCTGATAGTCGCTGTAAAGCTTGATATACACCTGGGCTCCACATGTTGACATACAGACTACACACCATCCAGGGAGCTGCTTCATGAACACCTTCTAACAAAGACAGTTTCCTTTAGTTCAATGGAAAAAGCCTGCTTAATAATACGATATTCCTCTAATATGAGTCCAAAATTAATACTGTGGGCCTAAAAATGTGATCAATTAAAAAATAAAAAGAAATTGCCTTTCTCTATATATAGAACTGTAATTAACTTAATTCATTGTGGTTGGTTATTTCCTCAAGTAAGATATTTAAGCTAGCCATACAAATCAGCTCTTGTAATTTTCATCACATACCTGTATGGCAATTCCAAGACAATCCATTGATATAAAATTCTGATGTCCAGAAAAACAAAGGGCCCCTCTCAAGATAGTACTGCTCTAATTTACAAAATTATCATCCATTATGTGTGGGGCACTGAAAAAAAGGATATAGAGTGTGTACCATTAAAATTATTATAGTTTTAAATTGTTTAATTACATAAACATAGGAAATAATGTAAGCTACCCATATAATTATTAGCATTTCACATAATAACATTGTTTTTTTGGGGGTAACTGCTATATGTCTTTGGTCTCATGCTACAGTATCATAAACATGAGACCATCTATGTTTGTGACTGTTATATGTCAATGGTCTCATGCTACAGTATTGTATACATGAGACCATCTATGTTTAAGACTGTTATATGTCAATGGTCTCATGCTACAATGTTGTAAACATGAGACCATCTATGTTTAAGACTGTTATATGTCAATGGTCTCATGCTACAGTATTGTAAACATGAGACCATCTATGTTTAAGACTGTTATATGTCAATGGTCTCATGCTACAGTATTGTATACATGAGACCATCTATGTTTAAGACTGTTATATGTCAATGGTCTCATGCTACAGTATTGTAAACATGAGACCATCTATGTTTAAGACTGTTATATGTCAATGGTCTCATGCTACAATGTTGTAAACATGAGACCATCTATGTTTAAGACTGATATATGTCAATGGTCTCATGCTACAATGTTGTAAACATGAGACCATCTATGTTTAAGACTGTTATATGTCAATGGTCTCATGCTACAGTTTTGTAAACATGAGACCATCTATGTTTAAGACTGTTATATGTCAATGGTCTCATGCTACAGTATTGTATACATGAGACCATCTATGTTTAAGACTGTTATATGTCAATGGTCTCATGCTACAGTATTGTATACATGAGACCATCTATGTTTAAGACTGTTATATGTCAATGGTCTCATGCTACAGTGTTGTAAACATGAGACCATCTATGTTTAAGACTGTTATATGTCAATGGTCTCATGCTACAGTATTGTATACATGAGACCATCTATGTTTAAGACTGTTATATGTCAATGGTCTCATGCTACAGTGTTGTATACATGAGACCATGCCTGTTTAAGACTGTTATATGTCAATGGTCTCATGCTACAATGTTGTAATCATGAGACTATGCCTGTTTAAGACTGTTATATGTCAATGGTCTCATGCTACAGTTTTGTAAACATGAGACCATCTATGTTTAAGACTGTTATATGTCAATGGTCTCATACTACAGTGTTGTAAACATGAGACCATCTATGTTTAAGACTGTTATATGTCAATGGTCTCATGCTACAGTGTTGTAAACATGAGACCATCTATGTTTAAGACTGTTATATGTCAATGGTCTCATGCTACAGTATTGTAAACATGAGACCATCTATGTTTAAGACTGTTATATGTCAATGGTCTCATGCTACAGTATTGTAAACATGAGACCATCTATGTTTAAGACTGTTATATGTCAATGGTCTCATGCTACAGTGTTGTAAACATGAGACCAGGCCTGTTTAAGACTGTTTTATGTCGATGGTCTCATGCTACAATGTTGTAATCATGAGACCATCTATGTTTAATACTGTTATATGTCAATGGTCTCATGCTACAGTATTGTATACATGAGACCATCTATGTTTAAGACTGTTATATGTCAATGGTCTCATGCTACAGTATTGTAAACATGAGACCATGCCTGTTTAAGACTGTTATATGTCAATGGTCTCATGCTACTTACAGTATTGTAAACATGAGACCATCTATGTTTAAGACTGTAAAATGTCAATGGTCTCATGCTACAGTATTGTAAACATGAGACCATCTATGTTTAAGACTGTTATATATCAATGGTCTCATGCTACAATGTTGTAAACATGAGACCATGCCTGTTTAAGACTGTTATATGTCAATGGTCTCATGCTACAATGTTGTAATCATGAGACCATCTATGTTTAATACTGTTATATGTCAATGGTCTCATGCTACAGTATTGTATACATGAGACCATCTATGTTTAAGACTGTTATATGTCAATGGTCTCATGCTACAGTGTTGTATACATGAGACCATCTATGTTTAAGACTGTTATATGTCAATGGTCTCATGCTACAGTTTTGTAAACATGAGACCATGCCTGTTTAAGACTGTTATATGTTAATGGTCTCATGCTACAGTATTGTAAACATGAGACCATCTATGTTTAAGACTGTAAAATGTCAATGGTCTCATGCTACAGTGTTGTAAACATGAGACCATCTATGTTCAAGACCGTTATATGTCAATGGTCTCATGCTATGTAATTGTTATATAGAGACCGTGGCAAGAATATAGTGTATTATAGTCCCTGGTCTCTTGTGTGTAGTTGTTATATAGACACCATGACAAGTATATAGTGTGTTATAGTCCCTGGTCTCTTGTATGTAATTGTTATATAGAGACCATGACAAGTATATAGTGTGTTATAGTCCCTGGTCTCTTGTGTGTAATTGTTATATAGAGACCATGACAAGTATATAGTGTGTTATAGTCCCTGGTCTCTTGTATGTAATTGTTATATAGAGACAGTGACAAGTATTTAGTGTGTTATAGTCCCTGGTCTCTTGTGTGTAATTGTTATATAGAGACCATGACAAGTATATAGTGTGTTATAGTCCCTGGTCTCTTGTATGTAATTGTTATATAGAGACCATGACAAGTATATAGTGTATTATAGTCCCTGGTCTCTTGTGTGTAGTTGTTATATAGAGACCATGACAAGTATATAGTGTGTTATAGTCCCTGGTCTCTTGTATGTAATTGTTATAAAGAGACCGTGACAAGTATATAGTGTGTTATAGTCCCTGGACTCTTGTAAGTAATTGTTATATAGAGACCATGACAAGTATATAGTGTGTTATAGTCCCTGGTCTCTTGTATGTTGTTGTTATATAGAGACCGTGACAAGTATATAGTGTGTTATAGTCCCTGGTCTCTTGTATGTAGTTGTTATATAGAGACCATGACAAGTATATAGTGTGTTATAGTCCCTGGTCTCTTGTGTGTAATTGTTATATAGAGACCGTGACAAGTATATAGTGTGTTATAGTCCCTGGTCTCTTGTGTGTAATTGTTATATAGAGACCATGACAAGTATATAGTGTGTTATAGTCCCTGGTCTCTTGTATGTAATTGTTATATAGAGACCGTGACAAGTATATAGTGTGTTATAGTCCCTGGTCTCTTGTATGTAATTGTTATATAGAGACCGTGACAAGTATATAGTGTGTTATAGTCCCTGGTCTCTTGTGTGTAATTGTTATATAGAGACCATGACAAGTATATAGTGTGTTATAGTCCCTGGTCTCTTGTATGTAATTGTTATATAGAGACCATGACAAGTATATAGTGTGTTATAGTCCCTGGTCTCTTGTATGTAATTGTTATATAGAGACCGTGACAAGTATATAGTGTGTTATAGTCCCTGGTCTCTTGTATGTAATTGTTATATAGAGACCATGACAAGTATATAGTGTGTTATAGTCCCTGGTCTCTTGTGTGTAATTGTTATAAAGAGACCATGACAAGTATATAGTGTGTTATAGTCCCTGGTCTCTTGTATGTAATTGTTATATAGAGACCACGACAAGTATATAGTGTGTTATAGTCCCTGGTCTCTTGTATGTAGTTGTTATATAGAGACCATGACAAGTATATAGTGTGTTATAGTCCCTGGTCTCTTGTGTGTAATTTATATAGAGACCATGGCAAGCACATAGTGTTATATAGAGACCATGACAAGTATATAGTGTGTTATAGTCCCTGGTCTCTTGTATGTAGTTGTTATATAGAGACCATGACAAGTATATAGTGTGTTATAGTCCCTGGTCTCTTGTGTGTAGTTGTTATATAGAGACCATGACAAGTATATAGTGTGTTATAGTCCCTGGTCTCTTGTATATAGAGACCGTGACAAGTATAGTGTGTTATAGTCCCTGGTCTCTTGTATGTAATTGTTATATAGAGACCATGACAAGTATATAGTGTGTTATAGTCCCTGGTCTCTTGTATGTAATTGTTATATAGAGACCGTGACAAGTATATAGTGTGTTATAGTCCCTGGTCTCTTGTATGTAATTGTTATATAGAGACCATGACAAGTATATAGTGTGTTATAGTCCCTGGTCTCTTGTATGTAATTGTTATATAGAGACCGTGACAAGTATATAGTGTGTTATAGTCCCTGGTCTCTTGTATGTAATTGTTATATATGACAAGTATGTAGTGTGTTATAGTCCCTGGTCTCTTGTATGTAATTGTTATATAGAGACCATGACAAGTATGTAGTGTATCAAAGTCCCCGGTCTCTTGTATGTAATTGTTATATAGAGACCATGACAAGTATATAGTGTGTTATAGTCCCTGGTCTCTTGTATGTAATTGTTATATAGAGACCACGACAAGTATATAGTGTGTTATAGTCCCTGGTCTCTTGTATGTAATTGTTATATAGAGACCGTGACAAGTATATAGTGTGTTATAGTCCCTGGTCTCTTGTGTGTAGTTGTTATATAGAGACCACGACAAGTATATAGTGTATTATAGTCCCTGGTCTCTTGTATGTATTGTTATATAGAGACCATGACAAGTATATAGTGTGTTATAGTCCCTGGTCTCTTGTATGTAATTGTTATATAGAGACCGTGACAAGTATATAGTGTGTTATAGTCCCTGGTCTCTTGTATGTAATTGTTATATAGAGACCACGACAAGTATATAGTGTGTTATAGTCCCTGGTCTCTTGTGTGTAGTTGTTATATTGAGACCACGACAAGTATATAGTGTGTTATAGTCCCTGGTCTCTTGTATGTAATTGTTATATAGAGACCGTGACAAGTATATAGTGTATTATAGTCTCTGGTCTCTTGTATGTAATTGTTATATAGAAAATCCAATTAATTTTCCGTGACAAATTATATACATTCGTGTGAGTCCCGTGGTCTCTTGTATGTATATAGAGACCGTGACAAGTATATGTTATATATAGAACTCTCTGTACATAGTGTGTTATAGTCCCTGGTCTCTTGTATGTAATTGTTATATAGAATGACAAGTATATAGTGTGTTATAGTCCCTGGTCTCTTGTATGTAGTTGTTATATAGAGACCATGACAAGTATATAGTGTGTTATAGTCCCTGGTCTCTTGTATGTAGTTGTTATATAGAGACCATGACAAGTATATAGTGTGTTATAGTCCCTGGTCTCTTGTATGTAGTTGTTATATAGAGACCATGACAAGTATATAGTGTATTATAGTCCCTGGTCTCTTGTATGTAGTTGTTATATAGACACCATGACAAGTATATAGTGTATTATAGTCCCTGGTCTCTTGTATGTAGCTGTTATATAGAGACCATGACAAGATTATAGTCATTTCAGTTGGTTAAAAACATTAAAAAAATGATCATCATGGCTTTCTATGTAAAAATCTGCATTTTAGACCATGACAAGGTTTATGTTATGTTACACTGTCACTTACTTCCAGCTTAATAGGCTGTAATCTGAAGATACCATAGGGCTTAATTATCAATGATCCCATGCTGCACGTAGGCAATGCAAAAATGAAAGTAGCCTCGTTCTGATTAGTCACGTGGTAATAAGAGACCACGGTCTCATCGCTGTTTCTGTATAGTAAATATACC